TTTCATTGTGCATAGACCAAGAGGCAGTCATTGGAACAGAACAAGGGAATATGAAATGGTTTAATATCAGGAAAGGGTTGGATCCTTTTACCTTCCTCATTCCGTCTGTATGCTGAGCACGTACTCTGAGGAACTGGACTCTATGAAGCAGAACATTCCATTCGGATTAGGGGAAAGCTCATTAACAACCTGTAGTATTCAGATGATACAACCTTGCTTGCTGAAAGTGAAGAGGACTTGAAGCACTTACTGATGAAGATGAAAGAACACAGCCTTCAGTAGGGATTACAACTCAAAGTAAAGACAAAAATCCTCACAAGTGGCCCAATAAACATCATGATAAGCAGAGAAAAAAATTGAAGCTCTAAAGACAAGCTTCAGATTCCAAGTAATCAGTTCTTGAAAAAGAAATCACACAGCTAACACATAGACCCTGTGACCAACAGAAAGACACATTCTGAGCACATGTTATACGCCAGGTACTACCTGGAGGAAACAGCCGTGGTGGTGCTGCGGGCTAAGCGTGTGAGAAAGGCCAGTGGTTCAAACCCACCCTCCCCTCTGTGGGAGAAAGATGAAGCGGTCTGCTCATGTAAAGATTTGGAGTCTCAGAAATCCTATGGAGCCGCTCTCCTCTGTCTTACAGGATAGTAATGAGTCAGAATTAACTTGGGGAGTCTGGCACACTATCTTATCTTCACAATCCTGCAAGACACTCAAGAACCATTTGAAGCTTGAAGAGGGGATGAGGGACTGGCTTTCCCAGGTTGTGTAGGGTTCTGCTCTAGACTACTGGCTATTCCACACTACCCCTATAAGTGAGTCCAGGGAAGGCCGGACACTGCTAAAACCCGGGTCAGAAAACTGATCGCTTGAGCAGTTACAGGTATCTCAGCTTGGGAGCCGCTTGCGTGGGCATTTGGGGTCTTAGGGCCTATGGGTTACAGCTGGTTGGGCCGCAACACCGCATGTGCTACATGGGTGGAGGTGGACGTGAGCTTGCAAGAACAGTGGGCCCTCTGAGCACCAGGGGACTTTGTCCATCCCCAGAGGATAGACCCGCAGCATCCAGAAGAACGCACGAGGAAGTGTGTAGGTGTGGTCTGGATGTCTGACACCGGTCTGGAGGTTTTTGTAGGCTTGGGTTACAGGCTCTGTCAGCTCACTTGAAAAGGCGCAGAAGACCCAGGTTTCATCCAATCTGTGAAAGCCCTCAGTAGGCCAAGTCCAATCAGGGAAAGCCCTCAGCAGGCCTCGTCCAATCAGGAAAAGCCTTACCAGGCATAACAAGTTTCCCAAAGAAGGACGGTGTTCTGCCTCAACAGCAACATAGAACTCCTGCCAAGTTGCTGCCTGCCCAGAGAATTCAGACTGGCCGCCCTGGGGACTTAACTGAGTCAGCCTGCGCCTGCCCTACAGAACTCAGACTGGCTGCCCTGGGGACTTACCTGAGGGTCAGCGTGCACTTACCTGCCTCACAGAATTTAGAATTGCCATTCCCTACAAATATGTGGATCAATTCCTTAAAATAAACATCTCCTCTTTTTCTATTTAGAGATGCTCAGATGTGGCACTGTAGGATAAGCACTGGCCTGCTATCCACAAGGTTGGCAGTTCAAACCCACCAGCTTCTCCGAAGAAAAAAGATGAGGCTTTCTGCGCCTGTGAAGATTTGCAGCCTCAGAATCCCTATTGAGTAGTTTTACTTTATCCTGTATAGGGTCGCTATGCCTCAGAACTGACTCGATGGCATTTTACAACGATATAGGGGCACTATGATTCTCAACAGACTCGATGGCACAGGGTTTGGGGCTAGTGTGTATGTGGTGAAAAACAGAATTCTAGTGTTCCAGAGAGAAGTACTAGAATGAGCAGGTAAAATGACAAAGTAATCCATTCCACTTAATTTAAGAAAAAGCTTTCTAACACCCAGGCACCCAGAGACCAGACAGGGCCGTGCTGAGAATGTCCGGGCAGAAGTCTGCTACCACAGAGGAATCCTGCAGAGTTGAGGTTTGAGGAGACAACCACAGAGGCATCCTTGGAGGGGAAACACTGGACTACTAACCAAAAGGTTGGAGATTCGAGTCCAACTAGAGATATCTTAGAAGAAATATATGGCCGCCAACTTCAGAAAAATCAGCCATTTGAAAAACCTATAGAAGCACCAAGATACTCTTTAAATCTGGACCTGAACCCACTCTGGGGATCAACGTTCAGCCAAACAAGAGACCTATAAAGGGAGCAACCTCACCAGAAAGCATGTGCTTCTCAATACAGTCAACTGTCTGAGACCAACAGGGTAGCATTGGTCCAAACATAAAACTCAGAAGTCAGAAAGGGACAGGAAAGAATGACAACGCGATGCCGAGGAGGAAGCGGGCAGTGTGGTGTTACTTTGAAAGGCTGGTTGCAACCAGTATCACAAAACAAAATGTGGATTAACTGCTGAGTGGAAAACCAACATGCTCTGCAAAGTTTCACACAAACTATAATCATTTAAAAAGAAAAGAAAGCCCTAGGGAGCCCAATTCTACTCTGACATACATGGGGTTACCAATTGGAATCCACTTGAGGACAAGTGTTCATTTGCTTTTATGAAAGCCCCCTTGGACGCTGGAATTCTTTGATTCCATGGGATAGGTTAACACAGAACAGTGGGCAGAATTTTACTAGATTCTAGAAGATTCTGTGGTTGAGGAGCCTGGAGCTTCGTGGGCCACCCAGTGGGTGTGAGGTGGCTGAGAGCAGGTGGGAAGAAAGTAGTTACTGGGGATGGGAGAGGGCCTAGCACCAATGGGTGGAGCGTCAGATGGAGACTCTAGAAACAAACAATATGAAGGAGGTAAGGGCCAGCTGGTTGTGTCAGAGGTATACATGAGGAGGCTGCTTGTGGTAAAAAATCCCTGGTAGCTAGAGGAAGTACCGGGACCTCAGGAGTGTCCTCACCTTGAAGGCCATGATGAGTATGATGCCGGGGATGGAGGCAATGCGGACGAGCCAGCGCCAGCCGATGGTGGGGATGACCACAGAAGCCAGGCCAATGATGAGCAGAGAGCCGGTGAGCCAGAACAGCTAGGGGGAAACGCAGCCGAACTGCACAGCATGCTGGCACTTCACCACATGGGTGGTGTGCCAAGGGGCCACAGGCTCTATTCCTGGCACACCTGCCTGCCCACCTACCCGCCTACCCACCTGCCTGCCCACCCACCTGTTGTCCACCCCACCTGCCCGCCCACCTGCCCACCCACTTGCGGTCCACCCCACCTGCCCACCCACCTGCCCACCCCACCTGCCCTCTACCCACCTACTGTCCACCCCACACCTGCCCGTCCACCTGCCCACCCCACCTCACCTGTCCACCCACCTGCCCTCCCTACTTGTCTACCTCACTTGTCCACACACCTCTCCAAAGCCATTCTAAGCATTTGTTTGTTGTTAAGTACTGTTGGGTCGGTTCCGACTCATAGCCACCCTGTGTAGGGTTTCCAAGGAGCAGCTGGTGACCTTGAACCACCAACCTTGCAATCCAGCACATTAACTCACAACGCCATGCCAGGAGTCCATTCTAAGCATATGCACACTAAAGAGGATGCATGTAACAGTCCCTGGCTGATAGAAACATTAGCACGCTAGACTACTGATTGCCAGTTCAGTCTTTGGAGTCACAGTGGCCCCTCAAAAGAAAGATCTAATGATCTACTTCTGAAAAAATCAGTCACTGAAAACCCTTGGAGCACAATTGTACCCTGACCCACACGGGGTCACCGTGAGTCAGAATCAATTCATGGTCTATATTTTGCTGCACACTTTGCTTTGTATATGTAAAAGTATATCTTGGGATCATCTGTGTGGACAGGGCCAACAGGTTGGGAGGCATTATTTCCCATCTGAAGATGGATATAGACAATAATTCTGTTTCAGTTGACACAGACAGATGGAGGGTCCTACAATAAAAGATCCTTTGGGAAAGTTAATCAAGGGATGACTAGTTCATCACCAACGGTGTCTACGAAAACAAATAGCTAAAGTGCTCATTCATTCAATGTGTAAATCACAAATAACAACTGTGCTCTTCCCATCTGCTGCATTCCGCTCAGGGTGCAGCGAACAAAACCATTCGTGGAGCACATGGCGGCTGTCTACTTGTCTCAGGAGGCTAAATCGCTTACTTAAGGAGCCCTGGTGGCACAGTGGCTTAACACTCAGCTGCTAACAGAAAGGTCAGTGGTTCGAACCTACCAGTCACACCTTGGAACAAAGATGTGACAATCTGCTTCTGAGAAGATGAAACCAAACCAAGCCCATTGTTGTTGAATTGATTCCACCTCATAGGACCCTGGCAGGACAGAGTAAAACTCCCCAGGGCATTTCCAAGTCCAATCTCCAGGAACGCAGTTGGTCACATCTTTCTCCCGTGGAAGCTGGTGGGATTGAACCATTGACCTTTCAGTTAGCAGCCAACTGCTTAACCCCCTGTTCCATCAGGACTCCTTTCCAATAAAGATTAAATTACTCAAATCCGAACCCCGAACCTAATACCATCAAGTCAGCTCACAGCAACCCTGCAAGACATAGTGGAACCGCCCAGACCTAGGGTTTCCAAAGCTGTGAGTCTTTATGGACGCCAATTCATATCTTACCTCAGGGTCTGGATTTCTGGCTAACACCTGAGCGCTTAACCACTGTGCCACCAGGCCTCCTTCCTCATAAAAATTCCAGCCTCTGGGACCTTTCTCCTCTCACGTGAGGCACCACTAGACGGCACCCAACTACAACAATGTTTGTTAGGGTCTTTTTCAGTTTGTTTTCCAGATATGTTGCCTAAGTTCATCGTCGAAAATGAAAAATGAATTTTAACATAATCTCCTACTGTTTTGGTAGGAAGTGTGCTCTCTTTCCTGGACTCCTTGAAAGGGTAGGGCTTTGTAGAAGGGGGCTTCAGCAGTTTTGTGAATCAGACATGAGATCTGAAGGACATTGGGAAAGACTATAGTTACCAATTGGGCTGCTATCCTCAAGGTCAGTTCGAAACTACCAGCGTTTCCATGGGAGAAAGATGAGGCTTTCTGCTCCCGTAAAGATCTACAGCCTCAGAAACCCTATGCAGGGTTGCTGTGGGTTGGAATCAACTCAACGGCACTTAACAACATAGTTATATAGTTGGTTGTGTGCTACTGAGTCAGTTCTGAGGGTTTCTGAAGCTATAAATCTTTACAGAAGCAGAAAGCCTCCTCTTTCTCTTGTGGGGCGACTGGTAGATTTGAACTGCTGAACTTGCAGTTAGCAGCCCAGGGCTCCTTATAGTTATGTAGGAACACTGGACAAACAGTGACTGATCAGTTCTAAGGTGCTTTCTTTATATGGCACATTGGAACATCTGTGGCCAGGTCCTATGCTGAGGCAGCCAGTAAGCATTGGTTGAATTAGATTTTGGCATCTTGGAAGGTCACCAAAATAGAAACTTAGTTTTGGGGTAACAGACATGAAACTTGGCATAAGCGACTCCATCTTGGGCCGGGTCAGGTTGTTACCACTGGGATCCAGTGTTCCTGGGCTTCCGTCACAGGGCCAATCTCCAGTGAAGCCAGCCGTGGGTATATTTCTGATGCTGTTGGATAACACTAGTTCTGACTTACAAACAGTGCAATTGGACCTGTGGCTCCAAGCAGTCCCAGTGTTCTTTGGTTGGATCCTGGTATTAGACAATGTGTTCTACCAAAGAACAATCAACAACAGCCAAACCTAGCTCATCACACCCCACAGGATGTGGGAGAGTGCGCAGACCTGAAGCCACAACTGGATAAAGCAAGTCCATCTTGTAAGGAGAGAGGCCGTAACTGCTAACCTTGGTCTGCACCACCCTTTAGGTTCATCAGTAGTTAACTCCCACCCTGAGGGCTACTTTATGAATAAAGACTGTTCTGAAGAGATCAACACAACCTGTCATAAACAGAACAATAAAGAACTTCCTGAAAGTCCTGGACCTCCACCCCATTCGCCAAATCCTTATAAATCCTCTTTCCCACTTCTCCTTGGAAAGGAGCGCGGAGTCCCTCTGCCTCCGATATAGCTGATAGCCATTAAACCGTGCTTGCTATAACACACCCTGTCTCTGAGAGATTGGCTTTCCTCAAGGCAGGCAGCCTGGGCCGCCATTTTGTCAAATCCAAATTCCCATTTTACCTTACCTGAGACAAGGGCAGCATATAGCCTCGATACTTTGTCGGCAAAAATTCAGTCTTTATAATTAGCCTAAAGAGGAAGGGGGAGGGAACATGACAATACTATTTTTATAAGACTGAATAATGATTTGTTTTTAGCAGTCATAATTGTTCTTGTCAGATGAGCTCTTCAGGTTGGAAGACATTCAAAATATGATGGGGAAGAGCTGCCTCCTCAAAGTAGGGTTGACTGTGCAGCGCGAATGGAGTAAAGCCCTCAGGAACTTCATTTGCTGATGGGGCACAACTCAAAATGAGGAGAGGCAGCTAAAAACATCCATTAATAATTGGAACATGGAATATACAAAGTATGATTCTAGGGCAATTGAAAGTTGTCAAAACCGAAATGGAACACATTTCCTAGGCACTAGTGGAGCCCTAGGGTGGCACTGTAGGATAATACACTAGACCATAAGGTAGGTTTAAACCACAAGATCGGCCGTTCACATTCACCAGCCGCTCCTCGGAAACACAGCACTTGACAACAACAACAATAACAACAGTGAGCTGAAATGGACTGGTATTGGCCATTTTGAATCTGACAACCACATGATTTATTATGCCGGAAATGACAAATTGCAGCCGAATGGCGTCCCATTCATCAGCAAAATGAAAATTTCAAAATCTATCTTAAAGTGTAATGCTGTCTGTGATAGGATAATATCCATATGCTCATAATACCACTCTTATACAAATTTACCTACTGAAGACTAAAGTCAGTGATGATGAAATTGAAGACTTCTACCAATGTCTTCAGTCTGAAATTGATCAAACATGCAATCAAGATGTATTGATAATTACTGGCAATTGGAATACAAAGAAGAAGGATCAGTTGTTGGAAAATGCAGGCTTGGTGATAGAAATGATGCTGAAGATCGCATGATAGAATATTATAAAACCAATGATTTATAGTGCAAACACCTTTTTTAAGAAACCAACATAAAAGATGACTATGCACATGAACCTCACCAGACGGAATACATAGAAATCAAATTGACTACATCTGTGGGAAGAGATGGTGGAAAAGCTCCATATCATCAGCTAAAATATCAGCCAGGGGCAGACTGTGGAACAGGCCATCAATTGCTCAAATGCAAATTCAGGCTGAAGCTGAAGAAAATGAAAACAAGTTCACAAGAGCCAAACTTTGAACCTGAATTTGGACGTATCTCAAGAACAGATTTGATGAATTAGATACTAATAACTAACAACCAGAGGAGTCATGGCATGACGTCAAGAACATCATACAGGAAGAAAGCAAAAGGTTATTAAGAAGACAAGAAAGAAGGACGAGACTAAAATGGATGTTAGAAGAGACTCTGAAACTTGCTCTCCAGCATAGAGATACTACTAAAGTCAATGGAAAAATGAGGAAGGAAGAGCTGAACAGAAAAAACCAAAGGACAGCTTTAGAAGACAGTCAAGTATTATAGTGAAATGTGCAAAAACCAAAGGAGAGAGCATGCTCAGCATTTCTCAAGCTGAAAGAACTGAAGAAAAAATTCAAACCTCGACATCAAATACTGAAGGATTCTATGGGGAAAATATTAAACAATGCAGAAAGCAGCAAAAGAAGATGAAAGGAATCTACAAAGTCACTGGACCAAAAAGAAATGGATGATGCTCAACCATTTGAAGAGAAAGCACATGAATGAGAGCCAATGCAATGACATTAAAGGAAGAAGTCCAAGGTGCACTGAAGGCACTGACAAAGAACAAGTTTCCGGGAATTGATGGAATACAAATTGAAATTTTTCAGCTAACTGATGTAGCCCCAGAGGCACTCAATCATCTATGCCAAGAAATTTGGGGGACAGTTACCAGGCCAACTGATTGGAAGAGATCCATATTTGTGGCCATTCCACACAGAGATAACCCAATAAAATGGGGAAATCATCAGACAATATCATTAATATCAGAAGCAAGTAAAATTTTGCTAAGTAATTAAAAAACAGCAGCAACAAACAGTGATCGTGAACTCTCAGAGGTTCAAGGCAGATTCCTAAGAGGATGTGAACCCAGGGCTATCATTGCTGACAACAGATGGATCTTGACTGAAAGCAAAAAATACCAGAGAGGTGTTCACTTGTGCTTTATTGACTATGCAAAGGCTTTTGTCTGTGTGGATCATGACAAGATATGGAAAACATTGCAGAGAACGAGTATTCTGGAACACTTAATTGTGCTCATGAGGAACCTGAACATAGACTAAGAGGCAGTTGTTCAAATAGAACAAGAGGACACTGAATGGTTTAAAATTAGGAAAGGTGTGCACCAGGGTTGTATTCTTTCACCATATTTATTCATTCTGTATGCTGAGCAAATAACCTGAAGAAGAATGTGGCATCAGGATTGGAGGAAGATTCATTAACAACCTGCGATATGCAGATGATCCAACCTTGCTTGCTGAAAGCAAAGAGGACTTAAAATATTTACTGATGAAGATAAAGACCACAACTTTCAGTATGGGTTGCATCTCAATGTAAAGAAAACAAAATTGCTCACCACTGGACCAATAAATAACATTCTTATCAACGGAGAAAAGATTAAAGTTGTCAAAGACTTCATTTTGCTTGAATCCACCGTCAACACTCATGGAAGCAGCAGTCAAAACATAAAATGACTTATTGCATTAGATAAATCTTCTGCACAAGATCTTTTTAGTGTTCATGAGGAAATGCCAGTTTGAGGACTAAGGTGAGCCTAACCCAAGCCATGGTATTTTCAATAGCTTCAAAAGCTTGTGAAAGTTAGCCAATGAATAAGGAAAACTACAGGAGTATTGATGCATTTGAGTTATGATGTTGGAGGAGAATATTGAAAGTGCCATGGACTGCCCAAAGAACAAACAAATCTGTGTTGAGAGAAGTACAGCCAGAGTGATCCTTGGAAGCCAGGATGGTGAGACTTTGTCTCTCCTACTTCAGACATGATATCAGGAGGGACCAGTCCCTAGAGAAGAATATCATGTTTGGTACATTGGAGGGTCAGCGTCAAAGAGGAAGCCCCCCCAATGAGATGGATTGGCGCAGTGGCAGCAACGATGGGCTCAAGCGTAACAATGATTTTGAGGACGGCCCAGGACCACGCAGGGTTTGGTTCTGTTGTGCACCGGGCTATACGGTCGTCATGAGTTGAAACTGACTCGACAGCTCCTAACAATAACTTAATAAGCCATGTTACCATTAACCCACTGGGCACCACTGTGGTATCATGCGGATGGTCACCCTCAGTCTGATGGCTTTAAGACAGAACCTAGAGGCTTCTTGGAAAGCGTTACAAAGAAAGCAAAGACTTAGTCTCTGGGACAGGAGGTATCTTTGGTTCTCAACTGGCTGGCCCAGTGCATGGGACATATACAGTAGTAGGTGCTCAATAAATGTTCCTTGAGTGGATTCTCCTTGAATGATTTCTAAAACTTAGCCTGTTGTTGTTGTTGTTAAGTGCTGTCAAGTTGGTTCTGATGCATAGCGATCCTATGACAGGTGTTCCAAGGAGTGGCTGGTGGGTTTGAACTGCCGACCTTCTGGTTCACAGTGCAGAGCTTACCCTACAGCACACCAGGAATCTGGGCAGCCCCATAGACCCTGGAAAAGCCCCCTGAGCAGCTATGATGGGCCCAGCTGAGGTCCTCGAGTGGGCCCACCCCCAACATCTGCTTAACCTCTCCAAGTCTCCCTCAGACATGGAGGCTGGGGGGTCCTCTTGGAATGTGAAAACATGAGTCCTAAGACTATTTCACAGTCTGCTTACTGTAAACTGACCACCCATAACATTTCTGTATTTTACTTCTTGTAAGATGTTTTACAGGCTAACTGGTTTTATGCACCTTGTAGGATAAGGACCTTCTCGTGGGGGCACACCAGGAGAACTCCACTTCCTAGGAGGAGTTTTGTTGGAGACCACCAAGGACAGATGTAGGAGGAAGGGAGTCACGTCTGGGCTGGCTACGGCATAAGGAAGCAGAAAGTTGCTGCTTGATGCTAAAGCCAGATTGGTACCCGATGACCAGATGTGATAACCGGCATCTTGCATTGTTCTCTCTCAAAACCCACTCATGCATCCCTGAATTGATAGTCTTATTTTTCTCTCCCCTAAGAACATTTCCTTAATCTGTATAACATCAAAAGACCCCTTTAATGTCAGTGACGTATGGCATCCTGGGGGGATGAAAAGGCTGGAGGCTAATAAATATGGAGTACCGCCATGTCCCGGGACTCTTGGTCTTACAGATCATGAGTCCTGCTTGGCTCTTGATCCTAGAGGTCATGAATCTTGCGGTCTCCCTTACTGCCTAACTTGTGTCTGTGTTTTATATCTAAGTTGTGTCATCTCCGCCGCCCTGGTGGTGTGAGTTGGATTCGCACAAAATTCGAACCAGAGTTCTGAAGAGTCACACATGCTCGACATCCCAGAATAAGCTTTGTTCACTCCTACTTGGATTCCTGGTGTGGCGCTGCAGAATCAAGGCTGGACTGTGAATCACAAGGTCTGCAGTTCAAACCCACCAGCTGCTCATCAAAAATCCGATACAGCAGAGGCGGAGAACCTTTTTCTGCCAGGGGTTATTTGGATATTTATAACATCATTCAAAGGTGAAACAAAATTACCAACTTTTGCCTGCTATAATATGATAACTAGAACTGTGGTTGCCTTGGTGGGGCCAGACCAAAGGATTTCACCTGCCTCTTACGGCCCTCGGGCTGAATGTTCCCCACTCCTGCTATACAGGGTCACTGAGGGTCCTTACCAACTTGACAGCACTTAACAACAACCAGAGGCCTGGTAGTGTGGTGGGTTACGAACTGGACTGCTATCTACAAGGTCAACAGTTTGAATCTATCAGCTGCTCTGTGGGAGAAAGATAATGTGTTCTGCTCTCCATTAAGATTTACAGTCTCAGAAATCCTATACAGTTTGAACCGACTCGACACACACAAGCATCACCACCAGTCTTTGCTGTGGAATCATCTAGAAGAAATGCTGCCATGCACCCAGATAGCATGGCCCCTCCTCAATGGGCCATTTCCCAGAAATCACTGCTTAACCCTATAAATAAACATGATACCTTTTCCCTGCCTAAAAGTTGTTGTTAAATTCCGTTGAGTGCCTTCTGACTCATAGTGACCCCGTGTAGGGTTTCCTAGGAGCAGTTGGTTGTTCAAACTGACCTTGCGGTCCAGTGCATCATCCTGCAGTGCCATACCAGGACTTCCAGGGAAGTCTTTGTTTAGGGAGATGAGGGTTAAGCGTTGCTTTAAGCCCTCCCCATCTCCACTAGCAAGCCTCTTTCCTATAATAAACCTTTGCTGGAATGGAAATCCTGCCTCACCTGACTATTGTTACTCAGTAGACAGCTAGAACCCTCTCTAGTAGGGCCTAGGTGTAGTTCACACTCCAAATAGCAGATTCATCTTTGTCCAATCTTTGACCTGTTAAAGACTTACTAAAGGGTTCTCTATAAAACATATTTGAATTTGGAATCTATTTTTCTGTAGAACCGGGGACAGGGGAGTTTCTGTTTGGGGGGCTTTGAGCTTATGTTAATGGTGGTAGAATATTCTGGAAAAGGTTTGCCACAGTGGTGGTTGTTGTTATGTGCCATGGAGTTGGTTCCGACTCATAGCGACCCTGTACAGGGTTTCCGAGGCTGTAAATCTTTATGGGAGCAGAAAGCCTCATCTTTCTCCCATGGAACAGCTGGTAGTTTCAAACTGCTAACCTTGAGGTTTGCAGCCTGATTTGTTACCATTACGCTACCAGAGCTCCTTACTGTGGTGGTACAACATGAAAATACAGTCAGTGCCTCTGAATTACAAATATGGAAGCTGTGCTGGCAGATTTGTGGATGTGTGCTATTGTTACTGGACTGTTAACCCCAAGGTCGGCAGTTCAAACTCACCAGGCACTCTTTGGAAACCCTGTACAGGGTCGCTATGGGTCGGACTCGACTCCCCGGCATTTACCAATTGTCATCACAACAAAAAATAAACCAAGATGTAATTGTGACAGCTAATATCCATATGTTGTTGTGGTTAAGTGCTGCCCAGTTCATTTCGACTCATAGCAACCCTGTATAGGATTTCCGAGGAACGGCTGGTGGGTTTGAACCACTAGCCTTGTGGTTCCAACTTATCATGTGTTCCAGTGTGTAACCTACAGTGCCTCACCAGGACTCCAATATCCACACAGGTAAACACTAGGTTACTGTTATTGTTTAGGTAAGCCCCTGTTTACACTTCCATTGGCAGAATTATTTTCAGTCCTGGCGGCACTGTACGATATGCAGTAGACTGCAAGGTCAATGGAAACCACAAGGTTGGCAGTTCAAACCTACCATCGGCTCCTTGGAAACCCTACACAGAGTCGCAATGAGTCAGAACCCACTCGACAGCACTCCACCGTCCTAAGAGAGCTCCGCTTATGACAGTATTTACCAAGTCTGATTCTCTTTCCTAAAACACTCTTGGAAAATTAGCATACACCCAAGGGAAGGCAGACCTTTTCTCTGAGTAATGATGACAGCCAAGGCACCAATTTCTAATTAAGTGCACGTTAATTTTGTGCCTAGAGGAATAAATGGAATCATATTCATTCCTTCGGTTTTCTAATGGCTCCGCTCTGTTGCAATTACTAGCCTGGGTTGGGATTTTTAAACATATTCATTGGGTTGTTTCCTGAGGGATGTTTGAAAATGCTACTTAATTTCTACTCCTCCAGGGCTCTGGTAGCGTAGTGGTTACGAATTGGGCTGTGAACCTTAAGGTCAGCAGTTTGAAACTACCAGTTGTTCCGTGGGAGAAAGACGAGGCTTTCTGTTCCCGTAAAGATTTCCAGCTTCAGAAACTTTGTACAGGGTCTCTATGAGTCGGAACCGACTCCACGGCACATCACCACCATCACCACCACCACCAGGTCTTCAAACCTCCAATGAGACTTAATTTATGCCTTGGGGAAGAACAATTCTTCTCCTAGCACATTAAGGTAATAATTAGGTGCTTTGACATCTCCTGGTGCAATCTGAGAATACTTGCCCCAAGACTTTGTTATGAGCTGTGAAGTCGGTTCCAACTCATAGCGACCCTGTACAGGGTTTCCGAGGCTGTAAATCTTTAAGGGAGCAGAAAGCCTCAGTTTTCTCCTGTGGAACAGCTAGTAGTTTCAAACTGCTGACCTTGAGGTTGGCAGCCCAATTCGTAACCACTACGCTACCAGAGCTCCTTTGCCCCAAGGCTACAGAGAGCAAAACACTGAAGGGAACCTCCCTTAAGGGAGACAAAGGAACCAGAACAATTCACGGGACAGTACAATCCTGGGGCAGCATCTCAGCGACTTCAACAAGTCTCCTTCTCTTCTGCAAATTCTCTTTAGCACAGTCTGAAGGACAAGGACTTTAAAAATGGTTATTCCTAAATGCTACAAGTGCTTATGGTGAAAGCCATTCTCTTCCAACAAATTCTCAATAAATTAGTGATGGGTGATGTTTCTGATGCCAGCTGATATAAAACTCTTTATTAGAATTTAGTCTAACAAAATATTATACATCTAAAAAAATAATGATTTTTAGCTATAAAACAGATTGGCTTATAAGACAAAGAATGTGGCCCTTTGAAAAACCATCTACTTTGGAGATATTGTGGAATTGAGTTACTTTGTTTTTTCAGTTTTCCAGTGAGTCTAAAAGTTAGGTTTACACTACACTGCTAGTGCTGTGGGCTAGACGTTGGACTGCTAACCACAAGGTCGGTGGTTCAAAACCGAGGAAGAAAGATGAAGCCGTCTGCTCCCGTAAAGACATACAGTCTTAGAAACCCTATAGAGGGTCCCTATGAGTCAGATTTGACTATAGCAGTGGGGCTTGGGGTTTTTTTGGGGTTTTTTAGTAGTCTATTAAGTGTACTGGTGTGGTGCTGTGGGTTAATGCGCCAGACTGCAAAGTCGTTTGAACTGCAAGGTTGGCGGTTCAAACTTACCAGCTGGTCCTTGGAAACCCTATACAGGGTTGCTATGGGTCAGAGTCGACTCGACTGCACTTGACAACATTAAGTGTGCAGTAGCATTATAAAAAAAGATGTGAAATAATGTGAGAATTATCACAAAAACACAAAATAAGCATATCTTATTGGAAAATGGTGCTGATAGACTTGTTCACCACAAGGGTGCCACACCCTTCAATTTGTAAGAAAAATGCACTATCCACTAAAAACAATAAAACAAAGTGCAATAAAAGAAGGGCTCCCTACATAGCATCCTCAGAGATGAGAATGGAGCAGGGAAACTAGATGAATGGAAATGGAACAACCTGAAAGTAAAACATGAAAGTGATGACACATTATGGAAAATGTAACCAATGTCACTCAACAATTTGTGTAGAAATTGTTCAATGGGAGCCGAACTTGCTGCGTAAACTTTCACCATAAACACAATAAAGTATTCTTTTTAAAAGATAGTGATCAGCCTCAGGAGCAGCAAAGTGAAGCTGTGCTCAATCTAGCCCAGGTATCCAGCATCACTGTGGAGCAGATAGCTCCTACTGGTACAAGCCACCATCATTAGAATTTGTGGCTCAGTGTTGTTGATGTTGGTCCACAAAGCACCGCAACACGTGTACATGTAAGTGTCTGTGTGTGTGCACATTTCTCCCACGGGGTTGAAAGGGACCATCTTTACCCTTGTGAGTGGCCAGACACACCACAGCCCACCATTGTCCGCAGGAAGACAAACCAGATGTACGAGGGTGAGAAAGAGGTCAGCAAGGAGAAGTAGGCTCCCCATACAAACGAGATGAACAAAATCTAAAGACACAAAACAGGACTTATTAGTGGGATCTAACTGCATACATACAGCCATCTTGAAAGCATCATTACTTTGCTTAGTTAAAGAGTACATATAATCAAGCCTTGCCTGAAAGCATCCCCCCACCTCCTCCCCCCACCCCCAGCTTGTCCTTGTTTCTCAAATGAGTGTTTTGACGATTCTAGGTTGGAATGTTAATAATTGTCTGGCTCTGCCGGAGCCTGGTCCCTGTTGTGATAAGGGTGACCATCTGGACAAGCAGTCACCGCGACAGTTAACCACATCCTCCTTGAGATGTCAGCTGGGGCATCGTGACCACCCTGTGACTTAGTGTGAATGTTGGAATTGTAGCCCCACTGCATGTTGCACGTGACCAGCCTTATCAAGAAACAGTATAACAAGTGCTGCTAAGGAACAGCTGAATACCAAACGAAACCGCATGTTTGCTATGGGATGTTTTGCGGTCATTTCCCTAATAATAATAAAGTCTTTTCTCTTTGTTTATTAATTAGACTCAATCGCTCCAGGGCATCTGACCCAAGCTTTGGGGTCATATGACAAACAGGACATTTTCATTTTCATCCAGATATATGCTCTGTGAGCTCTCCAACCTCTCCCAAGTCATCAGACAATGCAACGCAGGCCAGTCTGTGTTCTGAAAGGCAGCCTGGTGGTATGAACAAATGGTTGATGGGCTCAGCTATTAACGTAAACATTGGCGGTTTGAGTCTACCCAGAAGTGTCTTGGAAGAAAGACCTGGTGATCCACATCAAAGACATCAGCCACTGTAAACCCTATGGAGCACAGTTGTATTCTGACACACTTGGAGTCTCCATGTACTGTTTCTGTTACAAAATTTCTCCTCTTGCTTTTTCCTTGTTTTTCTGAGGTTTTTATATTTTTGTGTTGATTTGTAAGATTTTATGGTATTTATTTTATGCGCTTTAAGAGACACTGCCAATTCTACTCATGTTTTCCATTGCGGTTTCTCTGTTTGTGTTTATGCATAGAAAACCCTTCCTCTCCAGAAAGCAGGCACAAAACGAGAGACTTGGAGTTCTGTCTAGAGCTTTGATTACTGTGAGAATTGAAGAAAGATACTATAGTTTTAAAACTATAACAAAGTTAACTAATGGGCAGCTGCTCATGTTTGTTTTTGCGGTTAATTGCTGTCCAGTCTATTCTGACTCATGGTGACCCCATAGGGTCATGATGGGTTGGAACTAACTTGGTTTTGGATTAACCTAAAGGTTGATGGTTTAAATCCACCCAGCAGTGCAGTGGAAGAAACGTCTGGCAATCCACTTTGAATTAGATGACAGGCTCTCTGTAGGAGAGCAGTTCTTCTCTGTCCTACATACATACCCATCAACTCCACACCTAGATTTCTGGGGCTCAGGTATGAGGGCAGAAACCTCAGGAAGAAATAAGAAAGCAAATCTAGAATTCAGGAAAGCAATGTTGTAGAAAATCTCCCCACCTTCTATTTTGGGTAGTGGGAAGGAAATGCCCACTAAGGTGGGACAATAATGGTTTTTCCACATAAGAAAATTCCAAATCATACTCCAATGATCAACTTACCTTCCAGCGACCATATCTGTCCGCCAGGAGGCCAAAGAAAATGCTGAAAACCATGTAGCCGAAAAACACCATCTGGGGGTCGGGGTAAGGGTGAGAAAGCAATGATTCTCCAAGCAAAGCGTTTATATATAATTTGTTAATTTGTTGCATTAAACAGCCATCCTTCTTACCCAAAAGTAAATTGAAAATAAATGAGGGGTGGGAGTTAAAGATTGGGAAGTCAGGAATCTTTCCCCCTGGAAAGATGTTCGGGGTCTCAGAAACTGAGGGGTAGGCTCTTGTTGCTAACCCCACACCGTAGAGATACTGCCACCAGGTGGAAGCAGGTGTTGCAGGTAACTTGCTTCCCTCAGATCCAGGAGCAAGTCTTTGGTTCCACTCTATTTGATGGATAGTTGTGGATTCCCGTTGTAATTAAAAACCAAAAAACCATGCTCTTACTCCACACACGCGATGAGGCCACTGAATATCACCTTCCTTTGTGTAGTAGTTACAGATAAACATCTCTCATACTTCAGACATATTATCAGGAGGGACCAGTTCCTGGAGAAGGACATCATGCTAGGTAAAGTGGAGGGTCAGTGAAAAAGAAGGTGATCCCCAATGCGATGGATTGACATGGTGGCAGCAGCAATGGGCTCAAGCATGACAGCAATTTTAAGGATGGTGAAGGACCAGGCAGTGTTTCATTCTGTGGTGCATTCCGTTGTGCACTAGGAGTTCAAACTGAGTTGGCAGCACCTAACAACAACAGATAAACATAAACTAACCATGCATTAAAGCAGCTCTGAGAATAAATATAAATCCTACCATAAACACACTGATTTTTCTTTCTTGTTTGTACAATGGTGGATCTCACCTGATACAGACCCTGGATGGCACACACAGTTTCCACTCAACTACTGACTTAGACGTCTGCGGTTTGAACTGCCTAATGCTACTGCAATCTGATTCTGTAGAGATGACGACCAAGAAAACCCTAGGGAGCATGTCTATTCCATAATTCACAGGGTTGCCATGAGTCACGATCAACTCTATGGAAATGGGGTCAGATATTGGGTCTGGTGATTGGTTTTTGGTTGTTACAATGGCTTGGCCTGCCCCAATACAATTCAAGGACCTGCTGTGATAGTTTGAATCATAAACTGATGTCTTTGCCTTGAGCTGACTTGCACGTCTGCCTTCCAACAGTTTCAAGTTTCAGACTTGCTTCCTTCCCAGCAAGATCCCCAGTGGAAGATACCAAGATAATCAGAGGAGAGGTGCCTGCTTGTTTCTAATACTCTTTCAACAAAAATGCACCCTTGTTTTGTTTTGTTTTTTTCTCTCTTCTCCTATTTGGCTTTCTCGTCTTTTTCCCTCCCTTTCCCTTCTCAGGGAAAAATAATTTCTTCTCCAGGGAATTTGAAAAACCCTCAAATCTATTCTTGAATCAAAAAGGCTCCCCTCCTACCCCTTGTACAGTTTTCTAGAATCAGAATTGAGAAGGGGAAAAAATAAAAACAAAAAACTCAGTCCTTTCCAACTGTCTTGTAGAGCTGTTGCTGTTGTTGTTGTTGTTAAATTTCGACTCATAATCTAACAAAAGAAAACATGGAGAAGACACAAATAACTTGCATTAGAAACCACATGGGCGATGTCACAACAGAACCAAACGAAATCAAAAGGATAATAACAGAATACTATGAAGAGTTGTACTCCAACAAATTCGAAAACTCAGAGGAGATGGTTACATTTTTAAAAAACACGACCTACCTAAATTTACACAGAGTGAAGTAGAAAACTTGAACAGACACATAACAAAAGAAGAAATTGATAAGGTTATCAAAAAAACTCCCAACCAAAAGAAATCCAGACCCAGATGGCTTCATGGGTGAGTTCTACCAAACATTTAGGGAAGAGCTGTCACCAATTCTACTAAAATGTTTCCAGAATATAGGAGAGGACAGAAAGCTTCCTAACACTTTTAATGAAGCCAGCATAACCCTCCTACCAAAACCAGGGAAGGACGTCACTAAGAAAGAAAATTATAGACCAATATCCCTCATGAACATAGATGGAAAATTTTTCAACAAAATCCTAGCCAAAAGCATCCATCACCACATCAAAAAAATAATACATTACGACCAAGTGGGTTTCATAAAAGGGATGCAAGGATGGTTCAACATTAGAAAAACAATCAGTATAATCCACCATATAAATAAGAAAAATGAAAAGAACCACATGATCATATCGATTGATGCAGAAAAGACATTTGACAAAAACCCAACATCCATTCCTGATAAAAACACTCAACAAAGTAGGAATTGAAGGGAAATTCTTCAACATAATTAAGAGCATATATACAAAATCAACAGCTTACATCACTCCCAATGGAGAGAAACTGAAAGTCTTCCCTCTGTGAACGGGAACCAGACAAGGATGCCTTTTGTCACCACTCCTATTCAATATTGTTTTGTATTAGCCAGAGCTATACGGCAAGATAGGGAAATTAAAGGCATCCAAATTGGCAAACGGGAAATAAAACCCTTTCCATTTGCAGACAATATGATACTATACATAGAAAACCCCAAACACTCAGTGAAAAAGCTACTAGACATCATTGGAATATTCAGCAAAGAGGCAGAGTATAAGATCAACATACAAATATCA